TTTCTCAACTTCTCACACCTATCTCTATTTATACTCTTTTAACCCAAATTCATTATTGAAGAAGTATTCCTTAACTTACTTACAAAGAGTTACAATATCAGTCTCAACTCTAAAATAGAATTCTTCTAGCTTACATGTCTAATTGGTTCAATTGGGGTTAAAATCATGTCCAACTGGTTCGAAAAAAAGTTGAACTGTTTTCAAATAACTTGAACATGTTCACTTCTGTCAAAACGCTACTCGTATACTGAAATTAGAACCACAAAACTCAACAATATATCTCCACCTTGACTTGAATTTGGTCTTCTTGTGCTCTTCCATAGCTCCACCTCGAATGAAGATCGCTTCACCTCGAATGAAGATCGCTCCACTTCAAATGAATATCGCTCCACCTCAAACAAAACTCCATCCATCGTCCCCATTGGTATTCAAGTGCTCACGAATGGCAACCCACCAATCTTCAAATTCATCATCATCAAATGTTTTTTTGGCTTAAAGCAACAAACCTTTCTTCTTTACTATTTATTGCACTTTATCAGGCTTAGAGCAAACCCTTTCATTCCTCACATCATACTTATCCCCTCTTGAGAACTAGCACCCACTCTAGCTTATCCCAAAACTTGTTTCTCATTGGCTTCACCCCAACATACATTTGAATCATCATCAACTCTGATTGAATCTCTATAGCACCTCACGATCATCTTCTACTTCGAAAAACTTCATACCAACTTTTTGCTCTGATCTTCAGGACCAACCACAGGCTCTGACCAATCATCAGTTCTGATATTAGTTGTTCAGATAATCAACTCCCTCCAACCCACTTAACAGTTGGTTATTGTTGAGAGTTAAATCCCTTCTTCATCACACACAGCGGAAGTATAATCACATTATATTAACACAAGTATATATAGAGATAACAATCATACACAGCACAACATAATATTTTACATGGTTCACCAAACTCTAGGGTTACAATTATGAATCAAGGATGAGAATATACAACCAGATGTCAAAACCTCATTCACTCTCACTTATCACGTCTTTTAAGACTATATCAATACACTCGGGAATTACATATACTCTCTCTTCTCCTTACAACATTCACCCTTAAACTCCTTACATCTTTTCTTTCTTCTCTCTCTTTCTTAACCTCTCACACCCATATCTATTTATAAAGTCTTTAAACTTAAATTTCTTGTTGAATAAGTATTCCCCAACTTACCTACCAAGAGTTACCGTATCAGTAGGGGTGACAAAGTTTGACACGATTCGTCAACACAACTTGAATACGACACGAGTTAAATGGATTTGGATTAATCTTAAACGGGTTCGTTTGTAAACAGGTCGACACGATTGATCCGTTTAGTTAATTGTGTCGTGTTTAGGTTGAGGTGATTCAACCCGTGTAACCTGTTTAACTATAGTGTCATAAACAAATTTATATGTAAGTTCCAAAATAAGTATGTAAATTAGTATCATATAATTTACTCTTTTATAAACTAGATACTATTTAATAATTTGGTTAAATTGAAACTTATATTTTTTTAATATTTATTGTTTGATTTAGAATTATTAATAATTTAAATAATATAATTTTTTTATTTTAGTAAATAAGTCATTAAAAATGTTACACGTCTAATCCGTTTAATAAACATGTCGAGTTAGTGTTGAAGGTTCTTGACACGAATATTAAACGGATCGTGTTCGGGTTGAGTTATTTAGTATAATACTCTTAGATCGACATGATACGATTATGACCCATGAATACGAATTACCACCCCTACATATCAGTCTTCAACACATAAAACTCAAAAATGAGCCTATTGCAACCATTGGGCATAAGTATTATCACATAATCTAAAAACTGATATCATAAAAGTGAATATGTTAAACTAAGAAAATTAAGTTTTGTCCCAAATCGTACAAATTGGCTTGGTATAACCCTCTGCAATCAAACAAAGCTCGGACATGTCATGCTCAATTTGCAGATTAAACATTTCAACCCACGCCTAAACAAGATGTTAACCACCCATTTTGATTTCCAAATGGTGTGGCTTAATTTTGGCTGTGTGCAGGTAGCAGTCAATTTGATAACGATCAACGTTCCTTCTTCAACTCGAATCAAGGAATCATACATATGTGCAAAATGGATTCAACTTTTACACATGCCACCAAATGCTACAACATTATAGGTTCTTGACAAATCAATTTAGCAAGGACGATAACGTTACATCAAATTATTAATATTTTTTTTTTTTGGATCTCCGATTAAGTCACGTCAACTATACATCATGGAAATTGATTAATCTAGGACTGGACGATAACATAAAACCTAAAAATTTAAATCTTCTTGTAGATTTTTGGTATTTTTCTTATTAAAGTAGGTTAGACGTTTACCATCAACAAGTGTGGGTGTCATAGTTTATTGTATCTAACTTTTTCTCAACAATTTGTTTTATATTTTCATAAATCAATCGATTTATATGAATATTTGTCTGAATCTGTTATATTATAATCGCGACCGTAATCGAAATCGATACCGCAACTACGGTGGGTGTAAATAATGGTACCTATTAGTACATGATTTCATAGTTACACAATAATTTAATATTCTGAAAAATTTACAGTGTACTATTATTGTTTGTGTTGTGATTTCTAGAAGGTTAGCTAGGGTTTTTTTTTTCCTACAGTCCTGCAACTTTTGTGCCACAGAATGCAAGTACTCGTAGCAGTGACATTCTGAACGTGATGGTGCTGCGATGATGTTGGAAGTTCCAATTGAAAAAGCCACCCACTTGCCATTATTTATTTTGATTTCAAAGTAAAAATAATATTTCTATTATGAAGGGTGTTTAATACTATTTAAAAATATTTTGGTCACTTATATTTATTGTAACATTTTTCATGAAAATATTTTTGGTAAAAATAGTATTGCAAGTTTGAAAAATAAAAAATGACTAGTTGAAAATTGTTGTTTTTTTTTTTTTTTTTCGGTCAATGGTGTTTTTGGTAAGCAATCAAAAGTAACAACTTGGTATTTTTGATTTTGACCTCCTTTTTTAAAATATTTCGATACTATTCAAATTATAATAAACGATAGCGAACACGTTTTGTATTTTTGTCAATAACAAAAGTAACTGGCAAACAGACCGCAAGTAAAATGAGTTAGAACTGCATCCATAGATTCCGCTAATGACGTCACCTCTTAGGTAATAAGATTTTACAGTCAGAAGTTTCAGTCGAATCTATGAATTAAAGAAATATTTTTTTAATTAAAATGGAAAAGTGGGCCAGGGAGAGGATTTTGTGTAGCATTGATATGTGTCAATGTTTCTTTAAATTTTTATTTGAAAATTATTTATTTCTTATAAAAATTATTAAAAAAAAACGTTTACAAGTTGCTTATCCCAAACATCTAGATGTTTACTTTTTATGCCTATCATTATTTAAGTAATCTAATATAATATAATATGTCTAGTATTAAATTATTTACTGTAAAATTGAATTCGGTGGATCAATGTTTTAAAAATAGATTTCATGTGACAAAGTTGAGATTAGAATGTCTATAGTATTAGTATAATTTTATTCAACAGCCGGTTCCGTTCAACTCATTAAATACCCATAACTATAATAATTGTATTTTCTAACATCGATGGCCCACTTGACGCTATACATGATGTATTTCCATTTCGTGTTAGGCTCTATACACTTATACAGATAGTAATACTTTAACATGAATTTAAAAACTGAATCAAATCTATCTTAATTTATTTTTTAAGTCTAAAGAATCTTTTAATTTGATTTAAAAGGTTTTAAAAAATGTAAATTGGATATATTTATACTGTGTTTTTTTTTTTTTAAGGCGAAATGGACTGAGACAATTCAAAGCCCAACAACTATTGGTATGTCAATTATGAGCAAGAGCATTGCAATTTGATAAGAGTAGATGTTTAACTAATTTTGTAGGACAATTAATTCTCTTCCTTTCTCCTAAATCTTATCGATCTCACTTGGTATGGTTTTTAAGAGATTTATAATAGTAAAAATTAATTAATGATTTTTTTTTAAAAAAAATTCTTTTTTATTTTTTATTTTTTATTTTATTAAATCATGATTGTGCACTTTTTTACTACTATGTTTATGTTGCAATCTAATTTAAACGGTGTTGCATAGTTACAAGTAATGTGTTATATTCTTGATGTAAATGCATTTTATGAGTGTTAAAAAATTTTAAAAAATTATATACTCTATTTGTCTCATATTAGTTATTCATTTAAAACGAGAGGAAGAAAGTAAAGTCTAAAAATTCTAAACATAAATATGTACTTACATCTAGTAAAAGTCAAACGTCATTCAACTATTTTATGTAAGTGAGTGATACTCACACTGAACACTTGTAGTAAATTATATAACTAAATAATTTTTAATGGGCTATTTATATCAAATACAACTAAATAGAGGGCTCCACTTCCTTATTATTATTATTTTTTTGTATAATTAACCAATTAAAATAATAAGACTAACAATTCACTACAAATATTCTATGCAAGAATTATTTTTCTTATAATAATGTTGTCACAGATCTTGCGTTGTGATGATGTCATATCTACTCATATAAACGTAGTCCGTATCTAAGTTACATAAAGCGAGAGCAGGAGTGATAGCGAATTCGAGAGCGAGAACATGAGAGTGACATAATTAAGTTATAAGAAGTGAAAATTTGAACGAGAATGCACTCAAACGTTAAAAAAACAACACCTATTTAAAAAATATTGCGCGACTTAGATCCGTTTGCACACTCGAAGGGTAATACTTAAAACAATATGTGATCCAACTAAATGACTTCCCACTTGTGGACGGGATCCGGATCCGTTGTGTATATACCACTTTGCCTCTGTCCTTGTGCATCTCCATACAATCCTTTGTCCTAAAATGTTACTGTCCTTCACTTATAAACCCCGAATTAGAAAAACAAAGCCATAAATCATATGTGGGCAACTTGGCTCCACTCAATACCACGTATTGTTTCACAACACACAGCCATACCTCTCTATTTGGATTGAACTTCAACTTCTCTTCTTATATATTCATTCTCTCGGTAGCTAACACCTTCTTAGCTGAAGACCCATAGACCCATTTCAAACATTCAGTTATTTCACTGTTTCTTTGATATTATTTGTACTCACTTCTTCATCTATATTTCTGTGGCAAATTGAGCAAGTTTCTGAGGTGGGTTTTCAGTTAGACTCAAGATTTTGGTGTTTTCTCTGTCTGGCGATTGTTGAGGATGATGTCAATGACATGCCACAATCTTGAATTTGGTCGAACTGGGTTGGATTTGATTGCTTGTGGGTGTTCGTCCAATGCTTCGTTTGGCCGATCTTCAGTAAGAAACTATGCAAAGGGGATGTTTGGGAGTGGTTGTGCAGGCCATGGGGCTCGGAAATTGGTGAGTTGCCGGCGTGACACTGCTCGGTGCCGCGTGTTTTCGACGAAGAGCCCAGAGACTTTGTTAAATGGTATAGTTTTGAATGTGTTTCAGATTTTTAGTTTAATTCATGTAAGTAGTTTATTTTTTGGTTTTCTATTTGAAGATAATTTTTTTTAAAAAAAAAAATGGTTATGGGCTTAATATAGGGGTTACAACAGGTCCAACAATACTGGATTTGAAGAAAGAGTTGAGAAGTCCCATTTCACTTACAAATTTGTTTGAAGTGGTTGCTGATGACCTCCTCACATTGAACAAAAATCTACAGTCGGTGAGTACTCCATTGGATGTTCTGTTGTTGCTTATATGCTCTGAAATTGTTGATATATAATTCTTTCCTTACCAAATTGTTGGTTTGTATGCATTGAATTTTTTTGTTATATACTTCTCTCTATCAAATGGTCTTGGTGAAGATGCAGTAGCATTAAACTGAGTAAGATGGTTTGACAATGTGCAAGAAAGGGCAACAAGTGCAGGCAGTGAGGAAGAGTTACATGATCCAGGTTGAGGGTGTTGTGGGGAAGACTAAATTTGATATGCTTTGAGGTGGTAGGGAAGGGCACCGTAGCATATGGTTTAATTGAAAATTGTGGTCTTGGATTGAGTGGATAGTCAATACAGGATTTTGTTCAGTCTTGTATTCCTAATATCTTATTTCATTGTTTAGGCACCATGTGATTTTTGCTTTCTAAAATTGCTTTTGGAATCAAGGAAAGCTATTTATTTTCCTTTTTCTTCCCTGCTTTTTGCCAAGAACTGTATGAAAGAAATGCATTTTTTTTTTTTTTAGTAAGTAAAGAAAGGCATGTTTCATGAGCTGCTTTTATAAAAAGTGATGTGGAAACATGACCAGTGTGGTACAATGGTACTGTTGACAATTTTGGTGGCACCAGCAGTGATCTGCCGACAGTCTACTACTGTTGGGAGTAGGGGTTTGAACTAGAGTAGCAATGACAGAATGGTGGTAATGCACTGTTTGTGTAGGAAGGAAGAGGCGGTGGTAGCATTTTTAATGTAGTGTTGCTAGGGACGTTGCTACAATGGAGGTGGTGGCAGAAATGGTGTTATCATATTGAGCAAGCTAATTGTTTATATGGCAAAATGACCTACATATTATGGGCCTTATTTTAGCTTCTCTGTCTAGCGAAGTCGTAAGATGTTAACACAATGAGTTTTCAAGTCTTGAAAGGCTCAGATGATAAATAGTTCTTTGACACTAGATCTTTTAGACAAAAATGAGAGAATATAGCAGGCTAAGAATATCTTTCACAAACCACTGATGAATTCCGATATTTATAACTTATTAGTAAGTAGGTATTCCTTAAAATTTAACTTTATCTTTTGACTGGAAATATTTCTTGTTATATTCATTCAACTGCTCTTCATTTTCCATGGACTTTCAATGTCCACCAGCTGACTCCTCACTTATCTGATCCTTTTCGACATTTATCACACATTTACAGTGTTATACCCAAACTATTGGGTTGGTGATGCTAAAATTGCCCTGCATTTTCCCGTCTATAGGATTTTAATCTGAGGTTCTATCCCAGTTTAGACTGTCATATATATTTTTTTTCTAAAGACTAGATCAATATTCTTTTGAAATTATTATTCGAAGTTTATCTCATTGGTATATCAGTCTGCCATTTCCATTGTACTCATTTAAAAATTTACCTAACTTAATGGTCTAATGTAGGTTATATACAACACACACACGCACACACTCATACATGTATGTCTTTGGTTCTCACCCTTCTGTCTCGCCTGCATAGACTTTCAGATCTGTGGTAATTTATCCTCTTCAAATATCACTCTTCATTGTTTATGTGCATTATTTGTGCGGCAGATTGTACAACCCTTCCATCATTCATTTTATTTAGTCCTTGAACTTTGATAGAAAGTCGACAAAAAATTATCCAAGTAAAATAATGAAGTTCTTCATTCTTTAAATTCAGTTTTTCTTAACTTGGTACAAGTAAACTAGGGTAATCTATATGATGGTTATGTCTTCTTTCTTCTTCTAAACCCTTCTTTCTCTCTCCCCTCCCCTTTGTGTCCATGTGTGAAGCTAGGGATGGGGTGACAAGATATAGTGGATTAGTGGAATCAATAGCCTTCTTGACCTTTTCCATTTTTCTTCACTTGAAAGGGATGTTATTATTATTATTATTATTATTATTTTCACAAATCACATCAAAGAGGTGTTAAGAATTCAACTGTGGGGAACATCAAACTCTGGAAACATTTTTTTTTTTTCTTTTCTTTTGATAGGTAAGATTAAATTTTATTTTATCAAAAAGAAAATATACAAAATGCTCAAAACAACCTCATAAGCAACAAAGAGGACAAACCTCTCACAACTTGAAATAGATAATTTAATAAAATGCCCAAAGCAAGAGTAGGCCCCAAAGGCTACGGAGGGCACTAATAATCCTTCCCATTGTTTGGCTTTGGAGGAATTGGTGGCTTTTATGTTGGTTTTTTAGGGCTTACTTGCGACTGATTTTTACTCATGTTTCCTTAAACCTAAGACTTCCTTATCGTTGTCCTTTGTAGCACTTCCCTCATTCCCTTGACGATCATTTGGCTTGGCATCCACCTTCCAAAGTAGAAGGTCGAGGGTTCAAGTCCCCACAAGGGCAAAGTGGGTGTGTGAGTGTGTTTCTTACCAAGATAAAAAAAAAACCTGTCACATTATTCCCTTAGGAGTAGCTTCCTCCCCCTAGGAGATGAGAGGTCCTTAACACATGTCGGCCAACGTTATTGTAGAGGAGGTTGTTCATGTCCACGGAACTCCATGAGAAAAATAATTCACTTTGAAAAATGCTGCCAATGACAACACAATATTGTTGTACTTTTCTCATTCTCAACATCTTATGCACTGTATATATATAGTAGCTTCATGAATGCAAAGTTTGAATCTAAATCTCCTGTAATCTTCACTATCTGATTAAAAGTTGTATGTCTGATGAAGATCATCTGCTAGATTGTTGGTGCAGAAAACCCAGTCTTAATGTCTGCTGCGGAGCAGATCTTTGGTGCCGGTGGGAAGAGGATGAGACCAGCTTTGGTGTTCCTAGTGTCAAGAGCCACTGCAGAAACTGTGGGCTTGAAGTGATCACTTTAATCTTCTTTGTCAACATCCTATGTAAATTCAACAATATGGAAAATTCATCTGATGCTTTAAATTATCCAGGGAACTTACCACAGAGCATAGGCGTTTGGCAGAGATCATTGAGATGATCCATACTGCAAGCTTGATACACGATGATGTATTAGATGAAAGTGACATGCGGAGAGGTAGGCCTTTTAGATCTTTGCATTAGATCCTACTGAAATATCCTTGATGCTGCTCTCTGAGTTTATCAAAATGTTATGCATCTCTTTTTTTATCAGGAAATGTTATGCATCTTTGCGTCTTATAAAAAATGTCTCCGCATTTGTAACACTTGCACAAACCCAAATTTAGTAGCTATTTCTGTGTGGAACTTATTGACAGATGTGCTCATTGGACATTGCCATTGGGTACTGGCACCCATATTGCAGTTCATTGTAATTTGTCTGCTGTCATTTAAAAAATCTTATATTCATGTCATGCAGTCACACTGTTAAAATAGATGATTACTGGTTTTTAAATGATTGTGGAGCTAATAGTAGTAAGTGAAATTTGTTGGGAACATTTTCCCATTCCTTTCCATAGAATTATATCACCGAGACTTCAATTACCAATAATTTTTTTTTTTTGAAAAAGCATCAACTATTTCATACTAGTTCTTTACTTATCTTTTATATTCCTTGACTCAAATGCCATTCACAAAAAGTATTTGATTTGACAAACTTCACTGTTGTGAGTTGCACACTCTGTTTACCACAACAGTATCACCTGTACCATTGACCACAATGGGGTTCTCTTGCGCCAAAGTTGGCATTTGTTATTCATCGGTGAGAGACATACCACCACACTTCCACCTTTCACATGCAAGAGACAAAAGATAGTCACTTGAATTACTCATGTCCAAAGATGAGCACGGACTCTGCATATAACAACTAGAAGAAAAGCTCTATCACAGGCGTATAACATCAATGCAACACTTTTAACTATCTAAACATGTATAGACATCTATACCAGATTCATAACCCCTTACTGAGGTCTGTTTGTACCTATTCTTTTATGATTATTACGTATACTTTTTAAAGAGGGCGAGCCTTGGTGCAACGGTAAGGTTGCTCCATTGTGACCTGGAGATCATGGGTTTGAAACAAGGAAACAGCCTCTCCGCATACGGAGGTACGAGTTTGCATTTGACCACATGTAGAAGATCAGCTTGTCCAATTCTGGTTCCTGTGTCGAAGACATATCTATACACATCCGTATAGTGTTGTGTTGACACAGATACTTTTTTCTTTTTTTGGTAGGGGAAGAGTCCGTGTAACACAACATATGATGAAGTTTTTGACTTGTATGATCACAAAGGAGCAATTTGGATTCTTTTAGAAACTTATCTCAAATTTTCTCCTACATAAAATGTTCTTGCTTAATGTGGTAAAAATTCTATGAATATTACCAAGAAATCGTGTATGCATAAAAAAGTACACCATTTTATGCTCCTGGTCCCTATTGATGCTGACATTCGCAGCCTAACCGCTGGTGTCTGTTGGCTGGATCACTCTGGTAAAAGATTTTTGTGGAGATCTCCAAAGAACAATGTTATTTTGTTTCTTTGCTGGAAGATATTACTAGGTTTTGAAACCTGTGGAATAAAGCATGAATATGGAGAAAAGTGAACTCTGGAACACTGATTTCAGATCCTGTTGGCTCATGATCAGTCTCCAAAATAAAGGTGACACCCACATATCAAAACACGTAAAATTATTTTAGTTTCATGTAAGAAACAGTAATTGGGTGAGAATTATGTGGAGACATATCACTCCATCCTATTCTAGTATTATTACTGGTTATAATGAGGTCTTTATTTGAAGTTGGATGTAGTGTGTTTAAGTTATCCTTTTGAGTTGTTTATTTCTTTAATTTCTTCATTTTTATTGGTTTTAATGCTGTGTAGTCACCAGAACCCATGAGCTACTGCTCTGTTGCTGTTGAGTTGTATAAGTTTGAGTGAAAGATTGTGTAGGACAGATATTTAATTTTGTCCATGCAGAAAATCAAAATTGTATGAAATTAACAAATATTAGGTGCTGTTGGAAGCTGAGTTGATGAGTTCTGAGTGAAATCAGGAGATTATGGAAAATTCAAGCTTCTATGAATGTTGAATATTTTTCTAATGTTTGAATGCTAGGTAGAGCATTCCCATAGATGCACCTTCACACATTGATGAACTAGAGGCCAGTCTTTCGAAAGTGAAACAAGATTTTGTTTGTTCATGTTTGAAGTGGATCATTGAAATTGATCTCTATCGATTACTGGCAAGATGCTTTCATCTCATCTAGGCATCCACACTCCATACTGATGTCATTCCTCTCTGTTATTTGTACTTCTTCTTGTTTTTTTTTTTTTTTTTTTTCTCCTCCCTTTCTCGAGTAACTCTTCTTGCCTTCCATTAACCCTCCCAGACATAACAATGACTACTTATTTGCAGGGAAGGAAACTGTTCATCAACTGTATGGTACAAGAGTGGCAGTGCTGGCCGGGGACTTCATGTTTGCGCAGTCATCATGGTACCTGGCTAATCTTGAAAACCTTGAAGTCATAAAGCTCATTAGCCAGGTATATGTTAGAAGCTGCCTGGCAATTTCCAAATTCCATAAGCCTTTCTGATATCAATAACAGCTTGTTAACGTTGTTTTTGATGTGGGCAGGTTATTAAAGATTTTGCAAGTGGTGAAATAAAGCAGGCATCCAGTTTGTTTGATTGCGACGTTGAACTTGAGGAGTATTTGATCAAGAGCTACTACAAAACTGCCTCTTTGATTGCCGCCAGCACCAAAGGAGCCGCCATTTTTAGCGGGGTTGACAGCAGTGTCAGCGAGCAAATGTATCAATATGGTAAGAATCTCGGTCTGTCATTCCAAGTTGTTGATGACATATTGGATTTCACCCAGTCGGCAGAGCAGCTGGGAAAGCCGGCTGGGAGTGACCTGGCAAAAGGGAACCTGACTGCACCGGTGATTTTTGCACTAGAGAGAGAACCGAAACTGAGAGAGATTATTGAATCTGAGTTTTGTGAGAATGGTGCCCTCGATGAAGCCATCGAACTAGTTATGAGTAGTGGAGGCATCGAGAGAGCACAAGATTTGGCAAAAGAAAAAGCTGATCTTGCTATAAAGAATCTGCAATGTCTTCCTCTGAGTTCGTTTCAAATGGCACTCGAGGAAATGGTGTTGTTCAATCTTGAGCGGATTGATTAGATGAGAAACATTTCTACAGGAATAGATATTGGATGAGATAAGTCATTCTTGGGGTGAATTTGTTTCAGCACAAGGAGAGGGGCTATGAATTGAAGCCTCTTATCACCATAACAAGCGCTTCTACACACCCACCAATAACAAGTGCTATGAATGAAATTCTGCTTCTAATATGTAGTATTATATTGTAGCCTTTGGGCCTTGGCAGGCGCTGATCTAAAGGAAAATAACATTCCATGATTGTTTTATAATAGTTCAGATGCTTGAGGTAACAAATAGTATGTCTAGTGATGATATTCTTTTCATTTCTCTAAAGATGAATGTGTCATTCTAATTGTCAATAAATAATTAAGACATGATATGATCCATTTTGTGTGGGCGTGTTTGCATTTAGAATCAATCTCTCTCTAATCCAAACTTGATCTCACACTCAAATTTAAGTCTGAGCTCGAGACTAAGCTGGAAGTTGAGTTTAGTCAAGGAGTAAAGTTCGAACTTGACAAAGAATGTGCAAGCTGAACTCATAACACTAATATCTCAAAAAATAAATCTCTCTTTTTCATCGTAATAAAATACTCCATATTAGATTGAGCTAAGTTGGATTGCAGAACCCGGAACGGGTAATGCTGCACCACCGCAATTATATCACAAAATGCAATACAGATCTACTATAACAATTATGCAATACCATTATATGTATCATATTATATAGTTATGCAACGTTGTAATACTATTAAATTAAAATTTAACACAACAAGTGCCTTAATAGTACCGGACTCTTACTTTTTAAGAAAGGCCAGAAGTTTGAATCTAAGCATGTGTGTATGAGTACCAACTAATATATATATATATATATATATTAACACTATTGTTGGAAATCCTAATTTAAGAATGCAAGCCTTCTACCAAACTAGAAATTGAGAAAGAGGTTTCAGGTTAGGGAAAATGGTTTCACACACCCACCATTGGAACCGAAATGGTGGACCGAATACATCACAGCTCACTTGGGATGCATTCGGCCCACCGTTTCGGTTGGAAAGGTGGGCCTAAATAGCACATTTCTTTCAGTTACTTCAGCAGATACTGCCGCTAGAGAGGAAAGCGGTTTCAGTACCGCCAAAAATTGAGAGCGATGGTGCAGTGGAGGAGCATAGCAAAGGAAGCACTGGATCGAACAATGATCGTCACAAAGTTCCTCTGCTGGCTTCACGTCACCAATACTTACATCTGTGCACCAACACTCGTATGTGAAAAACGCATCTTCCTAAAATTCTTATATATATATATATATGTATATGTGTGTTTATAATTTTTTGAAAATTCAGAAAGAACAAGAAATTGAAAATATGATGTGGTCTCAGGGATACGGTCCGAGTATGCTTCCGACCTTGAACATGAGCGGTGATGTGCTATTGGGCGAACACATATCGGTGATGTTGGGGAAAGTTGGACGGGGAGATGTGGTCCTGGTCCGATCGCCTCTAAACCCTAGAAAGACCGTGACCAAACGCATTGTGGGTATGGAAGGTGATAGGGTTACTTTCCTCATGGACCCCAGGAACAATGACAGATTTCAGACTCTGGTGGTATGCATTTTTCTGTTTTTAACATTTTATATTGGTTTTGATTTTTCATTTCAGTTACTTTGTTTATGAATTATGATCCCTTTAGTTCATAGTGATTCTGCTTTGTCTTAGGTAATGATCATGAATGATGTCCCAAAATTTTAAACATGAATAATGGTACGCTTTTTGTGCGATTCCAATAAATAGTGTCCAAAAAGGACTTTTATCAGTATTAGATAAGAATAGAATCTCACTCCTCTGTTAGAGCCTTGGATGTTTTTGTTCCACATGGGATCCGAATGGGGAAGACTTAGGCTTATAAGGGCGGATGTACAGCACTGCCCAACAACTTCAGCTTTTGAATTGGAGGGCAAGCTCTCGGCCTGTTACCCACCCTCCCATGATGTTTATTTCAATTATTGTCACATCATTCGGTAACAACTATTGACAAGTTGCGGTAACAACTGATTGACAATTTTTTCTTTGTCCTTTAAATGATTAAGAAGCATGAAGAGTTGTTAGTTGTTTGAATTGGGTTCAAAATCTTAAAATTCAGTTTCCATCTTATATTTGGAAAACGAGGGTTGAAAAGTTTGTCTTTTTCCTTTAAGCAATTAGGAAGCATGTAGAGTTGTTAGTTGTTTGAATTGGGTTCAAAAATTTTAAATTCAGTTTCAATCTTATATTAAGGGTTTTGTTGGAAGACAGGTAATGTAGGAAAAGCAAGCGGCTTTATTTATTAGTATTTGGGAAATGGCTTTGAAAAAGTAAATTAAAAGGGTGAATTTTTATTTATTTATTTATTTATTTTTAACTAGTTGGTACTCACACACGCCTCTCCAAGGAATTGTTTTCACCTAGCAGGAATCGATGGTGGTTCTAGAAAAATTGTTATGAATAAGTGTTTCTGGAGAAGTGGCTACAAGAAAGTGGATTTTAAGAATTTTAAAGGTAATTTTGTGAAATATGTAGTTTAAAATATCAAGTTGTTTTGGACATGGATGGTTTTGAAGAACACAAGGTTTTGGAAAACAAGTGATTTCTTAAACCCAAGCTGTTGCTATAAGCGGTCTTTTAGATAAGTCGTATTTAGAATTATATGGTTCTGTGTGTTGGATGGTTTCATGAAAAGTAGTTGTGTTGAAAAATGGTTTTCGAGAAGAGTGGTTTGTTGGAATTGTCTTAAGAAAACAAGAGAATAAGAAGCTGTTTCCGCCTTCTGGAAAGACATGAAAGTAAGTTGTTTTTCATAAAACGCTGTTCTTAAAAATTAGTGGAAACAAGTTCTAAATTCACTTTGGAGTTTGGATGTCCTTTGAGCAGGGGTACAATAATATGGAACATAAGGCCTCCACAATTCCACCCCACTCATTTTATCATCACATAAACTTGTTTTTAAAATTTGAGAAGTGCTTAGGGAAATCAACAAAACACGGTTTAGATTTATAATTTTTATATAAGATAGTCTCAAGGCTATGTTAAACGAGTCTTTTAGAAAATAAAAACATGTCTACATCCATTGGCTTTCACATGACCATTTTCAAAAAATAAAAGAAGTATGGAGAGAGTGTTTTGAAAAGTAAAAGAGAATTTCATGTGTCACAACATGGATCTGAAATGCCATTTTTAGGATATCAGGTACAGTCACATTCCAATTCGATGGCCTCTCAAATGCAAATCAGTTTCCAGAAATATAAGTGCCTTGAAACTTAATAATTCGTTATCAAGATTAATTGTCAAAAATGTTCGTGGTACATAATTTATACACATATGCTCAAAGAGTAATTGCCTTTTCTTCAATGAGATGGTTTGGGGCTTCCAGCTCCCACTTGTTTTAACAATTTCAGTACCAAGCATCTTATTTTCTTTCTTCCCATATGGCTGCATATATGAGACAGCAATTACAAAAACTTGGTCTATATGATTTTTGGGTAGCTGACCATGCCCAAAACAACCACTACTGACTAGTGAGATATGCCGTGGTTTTGAGTGAGGTGAACGAAGTAGATTCTCACTTTGAGGGTGGTTGCTTTATATATGTTGAATATACATGAATGTGCATGTCTGCTTTACTTTCACTTTACCAAAGCTATAGGTCACATAGCTATAACTATTCTCTGTAACTAACCAAACCTACATGGCTATTCAATTTGAAGCAGTAACGACTCCTACAGCAGTAACCACTTCGGCTACAAAACGCAATTTAAACCAGAAATAACACTTGTAACTACTTAAAAATTAAATCACACATATAGTTTTTTCTTGAAGAACCAAAGAGTTATGTTCTTTAAAAATTTAATCGATATATACTTTTTCTTTAGCACCAAAAGGTACCTTTTGGATGTTTCTTTCTTTCTTTACCTTTTTATTTTTGGTGGTAGCTTTAATGGGTTTTAAAACTCCTCTTTTTAGATGTTATTTTTTATCTACTAATATTGAAATGATTTATTTATTTGTCTATTTTAATTTTTCGTTTGGGTGTATAGGTGCCAAAGGGTCACGTTTGGATTCAGGGGGATAACACCTATGCCTCTACAGATTCAAGGCATTTTGGGCCTGTTCCTTATGGCCTTATTCAGGGAAAAGTGTTTTGCCGGGTAAGTCTCTCTTCTTCTCATCATTGGTTCATTCTTTGGGAGTGGGAATAGATTTGTTTTTCCACTGCTGCAAAAATTGTTGTAAAATAATTACCCTTTTTGCCATTTTATTTCTGTTTAGTATTTGAGGAAAATAAAGTTCACGTGTTAGACAGTCGGTTCTTTCTACTTGCTGGGTCCTATAGGATCATAGGAAATTATAATCTAAGGTTATTTGATTTTTTATGATGCCTTTGACATTAATGATATATTTTTTTTTTTACACTTCTTTCTTTTACCTGCTAAACCTTAAAATTTAACACCAACAAGCAGATCAAGTCCAAAATATGATACAAATTGAAAGATTCTTGGAACTTTAGTGCTTTAGTGACTGAAGTGAAGTTACCGGAGAAGGTTCAATTATGAGTTAAACAAGTATGGTGGTAGGGCTTGCATAAATATTCTTCAAATTCATAATCTGTTTTTGGGTACGAGTGGGGTGTGGCTGATATTCCGTTTACACCCACATTTTGCTTTTGCAATTCTGACTTCTACAATCCGCAAGCAGCCTATCTTTGCTATTGAGTAGGCTTTATTGGTGCGGAGTTTGCCATGGCTGCATCCGTTAGGGATTCCATCCGGTCTCGTCTTCTGTCTTCGCATACTTCTCTTCCCGTAGCATAAGTTCCCTTAATGTACTGGGTTTCTTTTTTGCCAGCGATCAGTACAGAGCTCAGTTGACTGATGGGGTTAAGCTGTGATAGCCACTCCCTAGTTCCACCTTCTTCTATTTTCCACCTGACTGTACTGCTGTATCATATCTCTGTCTTTTCCTACTACTGTTATCTCTTACCTTAAGTTATAATATGTATGTTCAAAGTTTAGAATTTGCTCTTTCATTAACTTTTTTATCAGTATCTTCATTTAATAGGAAAACAGTTATTACTTTTTTTCTACAATTCCTCTTGTCCCTCCTGAAAAAGAGAAAAAGGAAATGGTCAAGAATGTAAGATTTGACAGCATGAATGGATTGCTAATGGGTTCAGGATTTAAAATTTGTTTTATTTTTTATTAGCTGCAGCTTTCAAAATGGGTTATTGAGACACTTTTGTGGTTGTACCAACTATAGCTTTACATAATCTCATAACTATTGGTGGTGTTGCATGGCAATTAATTTGCAATATTCAGTTTGGCCTACTTTCAGGCCCTTTTAAATTTGTTCTTTCATTTACAGGTATGGCCTCCTGATGGCTTTGGATCATTGGGACAATGAGCATAACAAAAACGATTTCCAAAGGTATTTAGTCGGCACTTGTTCATTTCTTAGATCATCATTCAAGCCATTTCATTTCCTCCCCTCAACTATTATAATTATGTGTTCGAGAAAGTTTGTTTTTTGTTAAGGATACGTCTGGGCTGTAAGGGTTTGATTTCGAAAACTAATTCTCGAAGATGATGTGCTCATTGTTCATTGACGATGTCATAATATTTTCTAACATTTTGTTTGTCATATTCCTCCAAGCTTAAGTTCTTGAAGTTCTTAATATTTATGCACAGATGAAGGTTTACAAATAATATTCTACACATTTTTCTCTACCGTTGCCGGTTCCTGAAAGGGCGAAGCTCATCTAGATTTTGTTGTCTATGCATTTATTGGCTTAAGAATGGATAACTGGGCGCAGTCTTCTACCTCTGGAGAAGGAGAACATGTTCTTGTTGTTTTTCCCAATTTGCCAAATCTCATATGGCATGCTATCAAGAGTCAGTTATATATATCCTTTTGGGCTTTGATTTAGAAAGGGAGTGGTGTGGACTGTGGAGTGAACAATTGAGATGTGAGCCACTTTTGTGAAGAAAGAGGTATTTGCTTTTGGTGATGTGATGAACATATCACATTGTCCTGTTAGGGTGGGAAGAAAACAATATTTCTAGGTTTGCCATTTCAATTTTGCTCTGTTAGGTAAGCATGTTTAATAACTTATTTCGAGACTCAACATCTTAGTCAGAGACATACATTGACCCTCCAAATAAATTATAGACGACAAAAATAATGTTAAAATCTTAAAATAATATGTTTAAGAACATATGGAGAGTCAACATTTTAGTTAGTGACATTCATTGACGTTAAAAATAGTGTTAAATTTTTTAAATACTGTGTTGAAGTTAATTTTGAAATAATATGTTGAAGTCAACAACTTATTACTTATATGGAGAGTCAACGTATTAAATCATTAATGTATTGTTAACTCTTGAAACAAATTGTTTAATGTGCTGCAATGTTGTGCTATGTAAAGCAAAGAATTCAGATTTGTCTTATATACTATCATAAAATAAAAAGAAGGAAAAGAAAAGAGAGAGAAATGAAAAAAATAAAAAAATAGTAGCCGGAGTAATAGCAAAACAAAGTTAAAACTTCAAATTATGGCGTTGAAACCTCTATTCCATCACAACTATGTTGAAACTCAAAATAAATTAAATAATAGCGTTTGTGTTTAACACAATAATTTCAAAACTCAAAATAAATGTGTTAAGTTTATTTATAACTATAATTCCCTCTTATTTTCTTTTTATAGATGTCTCAAATTAGTCGGCAAACTCAAATTTCAAAACTCAAAATAGATGTCTCAAAATAAATGTGTTAAGTTTATTTATAACTATATTCCCTTTGTTCTATTTTACTTTTTAAGATTATGATAATTTTTATTATATTAGTAGTGAATAATTATCAAATTTATTGATAATGGATTTACAGTGATGTGATGATTTATTTTTTGTAAGTTCAATGAAAAACTGTTAAATTGGTAATATTATAAAAATTAGTACATTATTTTTTCAAATATGACCATTATTTAAAATAAGATAAAAACAAAAAGGTGAACACTTATTTAGAAATGGAATGGAGAGAGTATATTTTTACATAAATACCATTAAAGTTTTAAAAAATCTTATAATTTGGTAATACGTAGTATATATATTTAAAATAATAACTTAGTAAATTTTTTAAAAAATATATTAATTGCGTGTCCTAAAAACTTATACTCCATAAATTGACACATAACATGGGGACAGAGGAGCATTTTATTAGTTGGATGGTCAGCTAGATAAATGAGTCAAAAACCACGACCTAGATGAAGCCACCTGGCTTCTTAAGAACATGCGAATCATGTCTACATGGGAATGGTCATAAAGAACGAAGTCGATGGGTAATATAGACATTGCACATTCAGTCACCCGTTCTATAAATATAGATCATATTAGTTCTAGGTTTTCCTAAGATTGCCTATGAGAAACCGGGCGTGCCCTTTTTCTATGCCGCTCGCGTTCCGTTGAGGGCACAAAAAAAAATCCTAATAGAGCCGTTTCTTCATCACTGCAAATGAAAGTCTCTCATCTTCTATTGCATCCAAGAAAGCTCTTACATTATATATATATATATATATATATATAGACACATACTTTTTCTTTTAATTACAATTTTTTTTTTTATAATTTGGTTTTTGTTTTTGTTTTGGGAAAATGTATATTGGGCCGATCCAATGGGTTCTCGCGTAGGAATTTGTTGAGTGGGAACTCAATTTCACCCGGCCTAGATTTAATTTGCAGGGCAGCCTCAAGGTTTAACATGTTTTCTATCATGTTTAGATTCAGGGATCTGCCCTATATATATATACACATATATATGTCCTATGTATGGATTCTATGTTTTGTTCAATATTTCCAACCACTTGATAGAAACATTCAAGTTGCCTCTTAAAATAAAGGGATTGTTATTTTCTATCAGTTTTGTCAATGAAAAGCGTAGTTAGCTTGTTGGGGGTTGTGATTTGTTCCTATAATCATTAATAACTCAAATTTTACAATAATTTAACATTTATTAAAAAATTATCGTGAAAAAATTAAGTAATAAATTAATTATTACATCACCATAAGTAAACCAAATTGAGTCCCAAGTAAATATGTTAGCAAGGATTTGTCTGAAAGTATAGCTGATTTTTACTCAAGTGGGTTCCCAAGTTTGGCATTGAGAACAAATTTTGAGTTTGAGATTGGTTAAATTATATCAAATTTGAGACGAGCTGTTCAACCTCACTAACCATTTTCTTGAGATCACTCCAGGCCACAACAGCATTGCGCCAGGAAAAATTTATTCTATCTAGCATTGGAAAAAGTTGGATTATTATGCAAAAGGTGAATTTTCACCTGAATATGAATTTTAGAATTGAAATCTATATTAAGAACAGCGGTCGGCTTTAAATTTTCTAAATATTTTTAGCTCAAAGTGTGTAGCTTCTGAAAAAAACTCAACCGGCATTGTAATTGGGAATTCTAACCTGCAAATTTAGGAAATTTATAAACTAAGGCATTGTGTGCTCTCCAGATTTTCTTTCCTGTTGATTCAAGATAGTGGTAACCACATTGATAGATATATGGAGAGTTGTCTAAATTAGTTTTGTTTATAGGTAAGAAAATGCGATGAGGAGCTGATTTTTTTTAGCATCTTATCCATATTCAATATATTGTTTTGTTGCAATTAACATGCCATAATCTTCTTGTGATATGGTGGTGGAATGGCAGGACGATACGACCTCATCACAGAGTTTTGTCTCTATGCATCAGCCAGTATGGATTTTCATTTATAACTTGCTATCCCAGGTACTCCTCTAAGCTTCTTTGGTCTCAACCACAACCATTTTACTACTCTCGTGCCGATAACTGAAACATTTAGGTTATTGTATTTACTGTTGCATCCATTTCATTGACAAAAGCTACTCTTTACGTAGCCAATTCAGACATCTATATATATTGAATTTTACATGTATCTAATTGAACTTGAAGAATTGTATGGTGTTACCGAAACATTGTCAAGCTTGCTTAGGAAAGCATACTCCCATTCCTCTATTTTGCCATCACATGGGTGTCACAACAATAATAGTGGAATCACAGTTAATTTCTTCCTAGTAAAAAAGTGAAAAAATTAAGTTTTGGGCTGTTAGCAATTCAATTCATGTGCATGCTGGAAAATTCAAAATTCAAGGTAAAGTTGAACAACCTAGCAAATTTAACCTATTTGTTAGAAATTCTGCAGTGCTGTAGAATGCTAACTGCTGTTAGCAATTCAATTCATGTGCATGCTGGAAAATTCAAAATTCAAGGTAAAGTTGAACAACCTAGCAAATTTAACCTATTTGTTAGAAATTCTGCAGTGCTGTAGAATGCTAACTGTTTGACCTAAGAAACATCTTGTTGATTGAGAGGCACAGTTGTTTGTAATTAATTGGAAAGCATATGTATCATTTGTATATTTGTGATTCCTTCCATTCTGGGGCAGATAAAGAATATACTGGACTGTCTCTCAAAGATCACCATATAAAGATCAAGCTCCTTGGAGTGAAATGAAACCAGTCCCATCCTTGTTTTAGGATATAAGTGAAGTTAACAAAAGCATATATGAAAATAAAAGTTTAAATAAGTAAATAAATAAACATAGAATAACACTACCAAGGAAAATATATGAATATCGAACTTCTAGGTGTTTGAATATGCACTACTTTTTTTTTTTTGTAACTAGACATCAATAGAACTTTCACCACTAAACCATTCACAATAGAGTAAATACATATTGGCTTTGAGTTTTTAAAGAGCAAACTGCCATAATTAATACTATGATTTACTAATCACTACAATTAATATGAAAATTGAGTCTGAGGCTATTGTGATTTGGTACCAGGCTTCATGAAAAGTCATTTTAACACCAATGGTATCCCAACTGAGTGGGAATGTTGAGACTTGGCTCCTTGTGGCTTTCACATCTCCTTCAGAATACTTTTCTGGTTTGAATTCATTTGCACGATTACCCCTAATTTCATCATCATGCTGAAATTTTAAATTTTTCTTTCTAGATTTTATGTACAATCATGTGAGCACCATTTGGGGGTTTTAGGGTTGCGACATAGGAAGGAGCATGTGCATAAGATGGAGAAAGCTCAAATGAGAAGCGCTGTAGAATCATAGCTATAGCCATCTTTACTTCTTACATTGTAAAGTTATTCCCAATACATATTCGGGGGCCCCAGCTGAATGGGAAGAAAGAAACGTGGTTCTTTGTTGCCTTCGCAACTCCCTCAGAAAATCTCTCTGGTTTGAACTCTTTTGCATCTTCACCCCAAATTACAGTCATGATGAACTAGGATTACCGGCAACAACTGCACCCCAGGAGGTATAGTCATATAGCCTAGTTTTGTTTCTCTGCAAGTAATTCGGGTAAACATAGCTACAGGATGGTATAATCTAAGAACCTCATTCAAAATCATTGTTACCTGCAATCAATAAGTTTTTGAAATTATTAATTGTGAATGTAATATGAGTTGTACCATGAAAGTGGGAAAAAAAATATAAATGATGATTGTCTACATATATACACAATATTTAATCTAATACATAGGTAAGATGACATATAATTTTTATGGTGAAAAAAAAATTATGCCTTACAAAATTTGTTACTCTTTCGTTTTCCTGTTGTAAAAGTTCTCTCTTGATTTTAGAACATTTCAAATTCAGGTATTTTTGGCATTTTACAGATTCATGTAAAGATCAAGTTAACGTCTCAAAAGAAACAATTTTGATCATTGTCTGGATTCTTAATTTTCTTCAGATCAAGATTATTTTTCATTTAGAGGCTTTTGGTACGAGGCATGGCCAAAGTCCATATGTTAGTGATTTTAGAATTGTAGAATAATTTGATATGTTGTTATGAAGAACTCCAAAAATTATTCTATATGAAACACTACAATTTATAGGCGATTTAACGCATCATAAACTGATATACTGTTTCCAAAAACATGTTGAACCTCTTCTCTTGCACGTGCTTGCCAGTTTGGGTGCATGCTCAACAAAACCGTTGTCCACACTAGCAAAATTGCGGTGTTCTCTTGCCCAGCAATATAGAATAGCTGGCACTCATCGATGACCTCTTCAATACTCATTCCTGCATCCTTGTTGCCTTGTTCTTTAATTTCTTTCAGATTGCATTTAAGCAGCATACCCAATAAATCACTGTCACTAGCTTCTCCTAATCTCTCCCTTTTATTGATTATACCCCTCACAAGACCTTGCACTTCCGCATAAATTTCCTTCATTTTCCTCATTCTCTTAGTTGGTAGAAACCCTATACATGAACAATTAAAGACAATTGCACCAAAAATAAGTAAACAATTAAAGACAATTGCACCAAAAAGAAGTAAACAATTACGTGGCATTGAACACATGACTTATCTACATCAAACTTAACTTCCCTTAATTTAACGTGGGATTCTTTTATCAACTTACTTATAGTAATGACTGATTCAGTATGTAAGAGTAGATTACACTGCAACAGAGGTTTTAGCTTGGACTTAAAACTGATGTTTCACATTGCATAACTAACTAAGAGATTTCAACTTACAAGCATGTACTAGAAAATTTTAAATTTAGCTATTCAATTGTCAACCTATTTTCACGCTTCAATTTATAGGGACAAGAGATAGAAATAATAAAGAGGTGTGTAAATAACAGTAGTATGCAAATTATCAATTAACTGTACCATTTGTAAATCATACCTATCTTGTAGTACCATCAATTATAATATTTTCGGAACTAAATTTAAAGCAATACAAATTCAATTTCCCAATTTGAAAGTATTAATTGAACTACATGATATTTTTTATTTACCTCTGTCCCGGAATGTAAAATGACTGCAGAAAGTGATGCGCATGTTCACATTGTTCTTTTTGGAGTTCGAATATCCTTCTACCTTCTTCATAGCTGCTACCAAATGCTGTTCGAGAAATCACAGCACAGGATAAATTTTGAAGATAGGGCCAAACATCCAATTCACATGAACTCCTTTCTGAGACCAGCATCTCCCATTAACTCATCATCTCGCTACAACTTAAATACATTGAAGGTAGCATTTCCTGAAAATACGAAGCATACAACTTACACTAACCATTTGTAGTAGTCTTAGGATCATGTTAGTGTTTTGAAGTGTATTAATTTACGATGAGATTGAAGAGACCTATAAAACTTGAGTTTGTAAAGAGAATTTGAAAACTATCATTTGGAGGTTAGTTCAAAACAATGTCCTGTTGATGTTAAGAACAGAATATTAAACTACCTTCAACTTCTCTAGATAGAAAGCTGGGTTGATAATCTTTCTATGCTTTAGCCCATTTCTCATCCTCATGGCTTGCGACGCCAGCCACTAGCAAGTCGGAAATTGGATCCAGCCTTCGCTTCTTGAAAGTATCGTTCCTAAGCAAGACCTCAGTAATTATTTTGGGGTCCATTATGTAAAAGGAATGGGGCCAGCTCATGAAAAAGAATTTTTACCTGCATTTTTGTTGCTTATTTGTGTGAGATTGTTAGAAGAACATTTAAGATTGTAATCTGCAGTAATGCTACCGAAAATGAAGAATAGTACTGAAAGTAACAAGTCTCACGAAGCTTAGAATCATGTCGATACCGTACTTCCTGACTGATTGATGGTAGAATGGTAGAACACGGGGCAGAATATCATCGGACAAGTTGATGGGTGTACTTCTTGCTTCTCTCACCATCTTGTAAATTTCTTTGGAGTCTCCATAGAAAAGCCGGTATGGATTTCCCCTGAAACCCTGCTGTCTCAGAAGTCTCTCTAGCTTCTTTGGCCTCAACCACACCCAGTTTAGGATTCTCCATGCGCATGATAGAAAAACAACCAAAACAAAGGATATCACAATTGAGTTAAGTGTTACTTCTATTTTCAATGTCAAAAGACTTCTGTGAGTTTCTGTGATCTTGTTGATGTTAAAGAAGCTTATTAGGAGGGAGCCTAGATTTTACAGCCGTTTTAGTGGAATTTTAAAAAGGATTAGGTGAGAAGTTACACAGCCAGTGTTGTCTTAAGCTTTTTGTTGGGTTGTAATATATGTTGTCTTAAGCTTTTTGTTGGATTGTTATATAGTCTTTATATTCTGTTTTAAATTTGTTGTACACATAATTAATCAGGCTTCCATTGGAGAAGACACCTATTATTACATTTTTAATGTTGTTATAGTATAGGTGGTGACAAAGAAAGGCTTATGATTTTTCTATTTAGTTAAATTTTTTATATACAATAGGCTGTAATCCAAAACCTAATATTTTAATTTAAGCATGTGTAACTTCTTACATTTGGATGTTTTCTTTTGTCCTCTTCAAAAGAATAAATGCGTGTTAGAGAGAAAAAATGTTGCCGTTAGAGAGAGCTACCTCCTGCCTCATAGCCTTGGTTGCATTGGACTGAATTTGCAAACAAGATGGTAACGTTTTGTTTCCATTTTCAATGTCTTGTGATTTTATTTTATTTATTTATTGGTTCTGGTCTGTTTCAACCGTTGTCACACTATGAATATAGCAATTTTGTGAAATTTTAAAATGACACCATATTTTACTTGACGCCATACACAACCTATTTGTGCAATACTTAAATAGCCTTTTGCAGACAAATTTATTAGGATTTTTAATCGGAATTTCATATTATTTGGGATGTAAAATACAATTACAATGGATACTTATGTGATATTGCTTGCCAAGATTTTGATACTATAATTATTCAACAGTGTTCTTTCTGGGAACTATTGGAGGTGAAGAATGAGGCTTAATATTTTTTTTGCCTTCTCAATTCTTGGTGAGCTATTTTCCATCTTCACTCTTATTTCTATGGTCATTGCACTGAAGTTCCTCAACTGCTTCATTGCTTGGTTGCTTAATTCTCTAAGGCCAACAATTAAATCAGATTATGTTTGCCACATTTTCAAATTTTGGTCATGGGCCTTTGTTGTTTGGGTTGTCCTGACCGCATTCCATGGACCTAGTTATATTTGGTTCTGGCTTCATTGTTTGGGCGTTTGTGTTTTTTCTCTTCTGAAAATGGGTTAGGTGCTATTAGAGAGGGTGTAACTTAAATATTTAAATCCTTCAACACGCCCCCTCACATGTGGCCTTCTTTGGTCTAACACGTGTTTTTTAAATTTTTAATTAGGGTGCCCTGATTGCATGTTAACTACCATCTACTCTAAAAGCTTAAGCTGTTAGAGAGGGTGTAACTTAAATATTTTAATCCTTCAACATTGCCCCAACCAGTACAACCATAATCACTCACCCAAACTAAAAAAATTCTCTTCTCCTGTAGCACATGAATATTATCATTTTCTTCCAAATCTCTTTGAATGAGAATTCACTTTGCTTCCAAACAATTTTGTCTGAGCCTTGATGTAATTTACAGTTTAAAAATTGATTCCACATGTCTTCTTCCCCAGATGCTAGGTACCTGTTTACTCTACCTACCTTCTTGAATCACTTCCCTTAAATTTGCTGCTTTAGACAAGGTGCCTAACACTTTTGTGACCAAACACTTGGATCAGAGTCTGACCATGCCACCTTGTATCCATAAACATTACTATATAAGCATGTGACCTAATTACATGTTTTTTATGTTTAAGGTAATCATACATTATCATTAAGTCAGTTCATATGTTGAACAGATTTATACTCCCTCTGTCCCTAAAAAGATGTCCTGTTTGGGGAACCGTGACTCACAAATCCCCAAACAGGACATCTAATTTGGGACGGAGTACATATTAAACTAACATGTTTGAAATTTTCATCACATGATAATTATTTGGCTTGACTGTAAATAATAACGTTTTCTGATTACCAGTCATATGGCAATGTACTATAACACAATTTTTCCAAATTATTACTTCGTGATTACAAGGAACTCACACCCAAATGTTCAACTCTTTGAATTTATGAAGAGGAGGAAAAGCATTTGTGTCTCAATTAAATGGCACCATGATAGTTTATGATACCGATAAGAGAAAAATAATTCACTTTATTTTGAAGGGCAAGAGAAAATTTTCATTGTAAAACAAGAGAGCACAATCAAGAGAACGAGAATTATAAAATGAGTGCACAATAATTATTCTCACCTAAACACAACCCGGAACATTAATTATATGGCAATTAAAATTAAAAATACAACGTAGACACAACTGCTAAGCAACACAAATAATCATTGATAGCTTCATCCCAATAACAAATTCATAGTCTTCCAATGAGGCCAGTCCACCTAGGCAGCAACATGACATTGGCATTGCATCCACTATGCCAATTATACACCACCAACCTTCAACAGTAATTAAGTTTGCAGAAAACCACATTAGCACCAAACTGAGGTTGAAGAGTCAAGATAGTGAAAGATGGGTATAGGTTGGTGAGAGCTCAATAGAGAAGTGTTGTAGAATCATTTTGGCCACATCACAGAATGAAGTAATGCTAACTGAACTAGTGTTTCTCACATCTTTTTTCTTTCGTATTGATTCAAGATAGTGGTATAGCATCCGCATTAATAGTGAAATATAGTCAACTTAGTTTTTGTATGAAGGTAAAAGATTCATACAGGTGGACTCAACTTAGTTTTTGTTTTTAGGTAAGAAAATGTGATGAGGAGCGCTGATTTTATGTAGCATCTTGCCTATACTCAATGGTATGAGAATAGACAACATATTGTATTCTTGCAATTAACATGCTATACTTGTTGATATGGTGGTGGAATGGCAGGATGGCACAATGTCATTGAGAGGTTGGGGGATCTGGATTTTGCTTCTTTTGTCACCATGGATGTCTTTTCCATGTCTCTATGCCGTAGCCAGAAAGGATTTCCATTGATAACTTGCTCTCTCAGGTACTCCTCTAATCTTCTTTGGTCTAAACCACACCCAATTTACTACTCTCATGCCCATGTTACAACAGTAACTGAAACATTGTGGTTATTGGATTTACTGTTGCATCCATTTTATTGACAAAAGCTACTATATACCTAGCCAATGCAGACATCTATATATAGAATTTTATATGTATATGATTGACTTTAAAGAATTGTTGGTGTTACCAATACATGGTCAAGCTTGCTTAGGAAAGCATACTCTCATTCCACTATTTGGCCATCACATGGGTGTCACAGTTAAAATTGGGAAATCACAGTGTAGTTGTTTGTGTTTGACAGTTAGGTTGAATATTTGTAGGGTCTTCTTACCAATTTCTATCCTAATTTTTTTATCAATCACATTAAATTTGGTTTTCTTATTCTTTTTAGTAATCAAGTGGAAAATTTTAAGGCTGGGGCTTTGGCAATTGAATTCACGTGCATGCTTGAAAAGTCCAAGTTCAAGGTAAAGTTGAACCACCACCACCTAGTAGATTCAATACCTATGTTGCTAAAAATTCTGGAGTGCTGTAGAGAGCAAATCAAGACAGATTCAGCTAAGAAACATCTCATTAATTGAGAGGCACAGTTGCTTATTATTAATTGGAAAATATATATATCATTTGTATATTTGTGGTTACTTCCACTCTAGCATAGATAAAGAATACCAATGCAGTATTGTAGAACCATGGATGTGTGTGCCCAATTGGATCAGTAGTATACTGTAGTCTCCTTCGTAGATCACCATAAAAAGATCAAGCTTCTTGGAGGGTGTTGAAACCTGTCCCCTTCTTGTGTGTTAGTAAAAGAATACCGAAAGAGAAAAAAAAAATGAAAAAAGAAAAGTGATATAAAAAGAAGAATAACATTGTTAAGGAAAATAAAATGAATATCAAACTTCTTGGTGTTTGAATATCCACTATATTTTTGTAATGAAACATCACTAGAACTTCTACTGCTAAACCATTCACAATAGAGTAAATACATATTTGCTTTGAGTTTTTAAGATCAAACTACCAAAATTAATATGATTTACAAATCACTACAATTAATATGAAAATTTAGTCTCAGACTATTGTGATTTGGTACCAGGCTTCATGTAAGACCATTTTAACACCAATAGGATCGCAACTTTGGTTTCAATTCATTTGCAAATTGCATGGTCACCCAAAATTTCATCTTCATGCTGAAATATTATTATTTTATTAATTAATTAATTTATTATTATTTTGATAAGTAATCTTTTTATTCAAAGAGAAACACAGTACAGGATTAAGAGGGGCATACCCCAATAGTACAACCGAACCAGATCAACAAACCAACTAAAGGAATCAATCACTCCAAAATGGAAGTTACAAACCAGATCAACAAACCAACTAAAGGAATCAATCACTCCAAAATGGAAGTTATCTAACAGCATGACTGTTGAATCTAAAAGCAGGGAAAGACAACATTTCTAGTTATTTTGGAAGAACTATAACAGTATGACTGTTGAATCTAGAAGCAGGGAATGACACCATCTCGAGTCTAATTGAGTTGTAGGTTTGAAGGGATACAAAGCACTCATCCAAACAATTAAATTCTTGTTTCTATATTTTACGTAAAATCATGTGAGCACCATGTTGTGGGTCTAGGGATGCAATATAGGAAGGAGAGTGTTGATAAGATGGAGAAAGCTCATATGAGAAGTGCGTTAGCATCATAGCTACAGCCATCTTTGCCTCTAACATTGCAAAGTTATACCCAATGCATATTCGGGGCCCCCAGCCGAATGCGAAGAAAGAGCCTTGGTTCTTTGTTGCCTTTGCAACTCCCTCAGAAAATCTCTCTGGTTTGAACTCTTCTGCATCGTCACCCCAAATTTCAGAATCATGATGAACTAGGAGTAGGGGGCACAACACCTGCACTCCAGGAGGTAGAGTCATATCACCTAGTTTTGTTTCTCTGCAAGTAACTCGGGTAACCATAGATGAAGGAGTGTATAATCTAAGAACCTCGTTCAAAATCATTGTTACCTGCAATCAATAAATTTTGGAAATTATCAATTCTGTGAATATGTAATACAAGTTATTATGTATACCATGAAAAACGGAATATATATATATATATATATATATATATATATATATATATATATATATATATATATATATATGATATTTGTCTATATACATATATACAGTATTTAATGTAAGAAATAGGTAAGAAAACCTGCAAATATAGTACAATATTTATGATTAAAAAAATTTATGCCATACAAAATTTGGCCCTATGAATATTTCTTTTTCTTGTTGAAAAACTTCCCTCTTGATTAAAGTCAACTTCTCAAAAAGAAATCATTTTGATCATTATTAAGTTTCGATCTCCATTTTCTTCAGAGGAAGATAATTTTTCATTTTAGAGGTGTTTGGTAGGGAGAAAACAAAATTTGCATGGCCAAAGTTCATGATTTTGGGATTGTAAAATAATTTTGATATTATGTTAGGAAGAACTCCAAAAATGAATCTATAGAAAACACCTACAATTTTAAGGCGATTTAACCCATCATAGTCTGGTTTATTGTTCCCAAAAACATGCTGAACCTCCTCTCTTGCACGCACTTGCCAGTTTGGGTGCATGCTCAACATAACCATTGTCCACACTAGCAAATCTGCGGTGTTCTCTTGTCCAGCAAAATAGAATAGCTTGCACTCATTGGTGATATCTTCAATACTCATTCCTGCATCCTTGCTACCTTGTTCTTTAATTTCTTTCTGGTTGGATTTAAGCATCACACCCAATAAATCGCTGTCACTAACTTCTCCTAATCTCTCCCTTTTATTGATTATACCCCTCACAAGAGCTTGCACTTCGGCATAAATTTCCTTCATTTTCCTCATTCTCTTAGTTGGTAGAAACCTATACATGAACAATTAAAGACAATTGCACCAAAAAAAGAATAAAACAATTACATGGCGTCGAACATGTGATTTCTCAATGTTAAGGGAAGCATTAATGACTGATACAATATGAAGGGTAGATTACACTGAAACAGAGGCATTAGCTCGTACTTAAAACTGATGTTTCACATTGCATAATTTACTAAAAGATTTCAACTTACAAGCATATATTTACTAGAAAATATTAAATTTAGTAGTTCAATTGTCAACCTATTTTCACACAAATCAAAATTTTTTTTTGATAAGTACCCAAAAATCAAATTTTTAGGGACAAGAGATAGAAATAGTAAAGAGTTGTGCAAATTATCAATTAACTGTACCATTTGTAAATCATACCTGTTATACAGCAACATCAATTGTAATATTTTCATAACTAAATTTAGAGCAATACCAATTCAATCTCCCAGTTTGAAAGTATTACCTCCAACCTGGAATGTAAAATGACTGCAGAACGTCATGCACAAGGTCACATTGTTCTCTTTGGAGTTTGAATATCCTTCCACCTTCTTCATAGCTGCTACCAAATGCTGTTCGAGAAATGACATCACAGGATAGATTTAGAAGATAGGGCCAAACATCCAATTCACATGAACTCTTTTCTGAAACCAGCTTCTCCCATTTACCCATCATCTCGCTACAACTCGAATGCATTGCAGGTACCAATTCCTGAGAATATAAAGTACACTGTAGTAACGCAGGGGATAGAAAAAGAGAACCTACTTTCAATATCATACTACATGTCAAAATTAGGCTTCTTACTCTGTGTGTCTTTGGCAATTCAAAAAAAAAAAAATCAATATGGACACTTAAATTAACCATTTGTAGTAGTCTTAGAATCAGTTTATTGTTTTCTAGTGCTGTTAATTTACAATGAGATTGAAGAAGCTTATAAAACTTGAGTTTGTTAAGAGAATTTGATGACTATCATTTGGAGGTTAGTTCAAAGAACTGTCTTGTTGATGTTAAGAACAGAATATGAAATTAATAGTTACCTTCAACTTCTCTACATAGAAAGCTGGGTTGAGAATCTTTCTATGCTTAGCCCATTTCTCATCCTCCTGACTTGCGATGCCAGTCACTAGCAACTTGGAAATTGGATTATGCTTTACCTTATGGAAAATATCGTTCCTGAGCAAGACCTCTTTAATTAATTTGGGGTCCATTATGTGAACCCTAGGAATGGGGCCAACCCATGAAAAACAATTTTTACCTGCATTTTTTGCCATTATGCGAGATTATTAGAACATTAATTTAAACTAGTAATCTGCAGTAATGCTACTGAAAATGAAGCTTAGTACCAAAAGTCTGAAAGTACCAAGTCTCGGGATGGAGAAATTCTTACATGGTCCTGGCCAATCACAACTCACGCAAGCAAAAATCTTAATGAAGCTTAGAGTCATGTCAATACTTACCATACTTCCTGACTGATTGATGGTAGAATGGTAGTGCATGGGATGGAATATGATCCGACAAGTTGATGGATGTACTTCTTGCTTCTTTCACCATTGTGTAAATTTCTTTGGAGTCTCCATAGAAAAGCCGGTATGGATTTCCCCTGAGACCTTGCTGTCTCATCAGTCTCTCTAACTTCTTTGGCGTCAACCACAACCAGTTCAGAACTCTCCCTGCGCATGATAGAAAGGCAACCAAGACAAAGGAGATCACTATTGAGTTAAGTGTTACTTCCATTTTCAATGGCAAAAGTTTTTTTGCAATAGTTTCTGTGATCTTGTTGATGGTAAAGAAGATTATTCAGGAGGGAGCCTAGAATACTTATTTATAGCCTTTTTGGTGGAATTTTTCAAAGGGATTAGGACTCACTAGGTGACAAGCCTTCAGCTAGTGTTTTCTTAAGCTTTTTGTTGAATTGTTATATTGTTAATCTATTGTACACTTGACTAATCAGGCTCCAATCATTTTGGAGAAGGCACCAATTATTGCACTTTACGTGTTGCCATATTATAGGTGGTGATTAAGTAAGGCTTATCATATTTCAAATTTAGTTGGCTTTCTTATTGATAAAGCTATAACACGAAGTAAGGCTTATTATTTTTCAAATTTAGTTAACATTCTTATTGATAAACAAAAATATTATGGTACCAACTATAACGTGTGGAAATATTGCTACTAAAATATCTCATCATGTTTAGCACCATCCAATATATATATTAACTTCATCAAAGAATCAATACCCAAGCCCTTGATTTTGGTACTCTTGAACTTGATGTAATCTAGTAGATACGATTCTTGAATTTTTATTTTTATTTTTATTTTAATATCTTTATTCCTTAGGATTGTGTGTTCTTGTTTATTTTTTGTGATTAGATCTATATAATTATGCAATTTCAGGTGCTCAACATTTATTTTTTTATTGCAAGGACTACATGAAAATTTGCTAAAAATAAGGACATAATTTAGTAGCACTATGTTCCATGTTCATTCGAAATCCTCTTTTTGCAGATACGGACTTGCCAATAACACTGGATTCGACACCGGCTCAGTTCATTAATAATAGTTCAGACTGGTCAGTTATAGCTCGGTAGGTCAGTGACTCAGGAAGGTTATAAGCCTTATTATTTTTCAAATTTAGTTGACTTCTTATGGAATCAGCTATAAGGCGTGGAACACATTGCTACTAAAATATATCCTTATGTTTAGCACCATCTAATAGACACTATATATATATATATATATATATATATATATATATATATATTTTAACACCATCCAATAATCAATACCCAAGCCCTTGATTTTGATACTCTTGAACTTGATGTAATGCACTAGTTACGATACTTGGTATTCTTTAATTTTTATTTTTCTTAAATATACAGTGATTCATTTTTTAGAAGTGTGTGTAGTTGTTTATTTTTTGTGATTTGATCTCTATAATTTTGCGGTTTCAGGTGCAAAACATTTATTTGTTTTTGCGGAAATGAGCACTTTATTAGGCGGCTGTAAGGATTTGATTTTGAAAATTAATTATTGATGATGATGTGCTCATTATTCATTGATGACAATCCTAATTTATCTGACTTTTTGTTTGTCGTTTTCCTCCAAGCTCAAGTTCTTTAAATTTGATCAGAATATTCTGACATGGTCAGAGTATCATCGGACAACTTGATGGCTGTACAAGACACAGAAAAGCCGGCGTGGTCTCTCTAGCTTCTCTGACCTCAACCACGCCCGGTTCAGGACTCTCCATACTTCCGTTTCTGTGATCATGTTGATGTTGAAGAATCTTCTTGAGGAGAAAGCCTATTATTTGATACTTTGTATACTTATTATTATTATTTTTTTATTATTATTTTTTTCTTGGCTTGCTATTCTTCGTCTCTTGTGCTGCACTCCTTTTATAGATGCCAACATCAGGCATGGGTTAATGGGAGCATGACAAAATGAATTTGCCTAGCCTAGGTTTTCAATTTGTCAATGTTTGTAGTGTGCACGTTTCATGTATTATAATTTATTTTTATATTACTAGTATAAAATATTTAATTTCTATCCATTATTCTAATTGTCTCGTGTAATTTTCTTTCTGAAGCTGCTGACTAAACTAAATGTACATCGATATTGATTATGTTGGTTCTCTCTTAGGGATGCATCTAGAATGAATCATTCCCTTTGTACAGGATGCAATTTGAAAAGCTAGCACAACGCGTCACCCGTTTATGGGGTTAAATTATCATTTTGCTTTTATAATTTATTTTTATATTGAAAATTATTAACTACATATTAAATATTTAGTCTACGCCCAACAATTCCATTCAAACAATTGCATCCCAAAAATCCGTTCAGGGGAGGATTTATCTACTTGGCAGACATACAAGCTGAGGAAAACAAAGGATATGTAAGAGCCACACCATCAACCATTTTTTAATATTTTTTTGCTTGATTTGTTGTTCGAAGAAATAATAATAATAATGCAAAAAATGAGAAACAAATTTTGAAGACCGACCTAGATTTATCAAATTAAATAAACAGCAGACAACGAAAGTTCCAGAAGAGTCTTCATAGTCAACAATAAATAATTAGACTTAGAAAATTACCCTAATCACTCAACAAAGATTAGGGAATTATATGGTGCATTAATTACGGAAGGATATTTTTGATAAAAAATATATACGAAAAAGCCTCGCTATATTTTACTTCAAATCAATTTGTATGCTACCCTTTTTGGTGGAATTTTCAAAGGGAATAGGACTCAGTAGGTGACAAGGTGACAAGCCTTCAGCTAGTGTTTTCTTAAGTTTTTTTTGTTGAATTGTTATATAGGTCTTTATATATTGTTAATCTATTGCAAACTTGACTAATCAGGCTTCCCAGACACCAATTATTCCACTTTACGTGTTGCCATATTATAGGTGGTTGGCTCTATTATTCATAAAGCTATAACACGAAGTAAGGCTTATTATTTTTCAAATTTAGTTGGCTTTCTTATTGATAAACAAAAAATATTATGCTACCAGCTATAACTTGTGGAAATTTTTTTTTTGAAAGGTGAAGGTAAATTTCATTCAAGCAAATAGAATTACAAAGCCCAAGGCTAGCACAGAGCTAGCTGAAGGGTCAAAACCCAAAAACAAAGCAGGCCTAAAACCCAAATACAAAGCAAGCCTAGAAGCCACAGTAAACTATGGAACAATCCATAAAGCCCAACAAGAGCACAAGAATCGTATCTTGTAGATTACATCAAGCTCGGGAGTATCAAATTAAATCAAGGTCTTGGGTATATTAACTGTGGCTTATATATATATATTAACTCCATCAAAGAATCAATACACAAGACCTTGATTTAATTTGGTACTCCCGAGTTTGATGTAATCTACAACATACGATTCTTGAATTTTTATTTTTATTTTATATATATATATATATATATATATATATTTAGTAGCAATATTTCCATATATATATATATTAACTCCATCAAAGAATCAATACCCAAGACCTTGATTTAATTTGGTACTCCCGAGCTTGATGTAATCTACAAGATACGATTCTTGAATTTTTTTTTTAATTTTATATATACATATATTTAGTAGCAATATTTCCATATATATATATATATTAACTCCATCAAAAAATCAATACCCAAGACCTTGATTTAATTTGGTACTCCCGAACTTAATGCAATCTACAGGATTTTTATTTTTATTTTATATATCTATATATATATATATATATATATATATATATATATATTTAGTAGCAATATTTCCATATATATATATATTAACTCCATCAAAGAATCAATACCCAAGACCTTGATTTAATTTGGTACTCCCGAGCTTGATGTAATCTACAAGATACGATTCTTGAATTTTTATTTTTATTTTATATATACATATATTTAGTAGCAATATTTCCATATATATATATATTAACTCCATCAAAAAATCAATACCCAAGACCTTGATTTAATTTGGTACTCCCGAACTTAATGCAATCTACAGGATACGATTCATGAATTTTTATTTTTATTTTATATATATAGTGGTTTATTTCTTAGAATTGTGTGTACTTGTTTATTTTTTGTGATTAGATCACTGTAATTGCACAGTTTCAGGTGCACAACATTTATTTGTTATTGGAAGGATTACATGAAAATTTGCTACACGCAAGGACTTATTTTAGTAGCACTATGTTCCACACCTCATAAAATAACAAGCCTCGCTATATTTTAGTAGCAATATGCATGTGCCTTGTAAAATAATAATACTTTATCACGGCAAACGCAAGGACTTATTTTAGCAGCACTATGTCCCACACCTCATAAAATAACCAGCCTTGCTATACTTTAGTAGCAATATGCATGTGCCTTGTAAAAAAATAAGGCTTACTTTATCATGGCAAACAAATCACAATTTTTGCGGAAACGAGCACTTTTCCACTGAAGCTGCTTTGAACTTCTTAAATAAGTGGCACAATTATTCTATTTAGTTAAAATTTAGGATCCGTTTGACATGCCTTTTGTTTTAGGCTAACATAGAAACAATATTTTTGCTGTAAAAGTACTTTGAAAAAAATCAAAAATACATTTTGGAACGATATTTTGCTGTGAATATGTCGGAAATACAAACATGTAAAACATATTTGGGTGTTTCAAGAATTTTAAAAACAAAATATGTTTGGTCACTCCAACTATTGAAAAAAAAATATATATATGTTTAGTTATCATTGTTTTTAATTTATTTTTATAAATTTTATGTATATTTATAAATTTATTTCTATATATATAGTCATCATATTTTTAATAGATATGGAGAAATTTGAATACACGAACATATATATATATATATATATATATATATATATATATTTGGTCTATAACAGTTCTAGTTACTATACTACATGAGAGTCAATATTTGTATACATTTTTTTTTTCCAAACTTGAACTCAATGTCACATTTTATGAAATGGTAAATTTATATAAATAGTCATTAAATTTTATAATTTATTTACAAAAATGTCTAAAAAGTACATTTTAATAATTCAAATATTATCAATATTTTTTCGTATATAACTATATAATGGCTATAAAAGTCTTAATTTTTTTTTTTTTTTATTATTATTTTTTTTTGCAATAACCTATTTACAAGTTATTTGCGATAACCTGTTTCAATTTTATTATCCTATTACATGTATAGTCCAACACAACATTAAAAATAAAAACAAACTCAACTGCAAGCATAAGTGGAATAGAGGGTATACTATTTACAAGTGCTTAAATATTCAACTAACAAATTTATTAAACAAATTTAAGTTTTACATAAAATGTTTGGAACAAAACATTAACAATACATAGTTGTCACTAAAAATTGATATTATATATGTTCATAAAGTATATGACAATGGCAAGGACATTGAAAAACTAAGTGGCAGTGACAGACAATGGCCAAACTGATTGACAATGACACTGAAAATATCACTGGCATGCGGCAATGGCATTGAAATACTACTCTTCTTTGCATGAATGGAACATAAAAACTTATTATTCGCATACAACCCTTCAAGACAACATCAACACACATCATCATCATCATCATCATGTTGTCCATGGTATAGATGATGGTGACAAAGAAAGGCTTATTATTTTTCTCTTTAGTTGAATTTCTCTTATACAATGCGATCAATGTTTTTATGTTTTAATTTCAGCATTTGTAACTATTTTTCATCTGGATGTTTTGTTTTGTTTTGTCCTTTTCAATAGAATAATAAATGCGTGACCGTGTTGTGGGGAGCTAAAATAATGTTGCTGTTATAGAGAGCATTTGTAACTTGTTTGCCTAGCTACCACCTGGCACCTGCCTCTAAACCCTTGTCGTTGAGAGATTCTATTTTTCTAGAGTTTTGGCTCTCTCTGTGGCATTTTGTTTCCATTTTTAGTGTCCTATAATTTTATTTTTCATTTCAGGTCTTTGTAAACTGTAAGGGGGAGAGAAACTGTATTC